ATTCTAGACAATGATATTTGCATATTTTTGCAAATATTTCGATTGAATTGTGAAGTTGGCCTGGTCAAATCAATCGTGATTTTTACGTGTTCTGAAATTCAGATTCTTTCGGATAGAGCTAATCTAACGGGTGTGCACTCTTAGGTCACGGCGCGGCAACTTTTGCATTTGTGCGAGTAATGTGCCGAAAAATTACGCGGCAGCTGATGCGAGGTGATCGCTCGGTAAAGGAATTGGTGGAGATGCAGACAACCAAAGACGAAAGAACATTATGAGAGAGAAAGTTAAAGGAGTTTATCCAGTGGAATGCCGCACGCGGCACGCCGCCAGTGTGAGCGTCGCCGCGCCGTGACCTAATGATCGTCGGTTTATCGTTGCATAAGACGAAACTAAGTTATACGAACTAGTAAAGTACACAACATACTGTGTAACTGGTTTGCGGCTTCTCTTGGTTAATATTCGGAGATTGGACGTAATGACCACCAAACGGTGACTGCGAATAACTATGGACAGGCTGGATTGACTGAGCTGGTTGCGAATGTGCCTAGGATAGAGGATAAAGATGTCAATGGAGAAGACACTCAAAAAAAATATTAACCCAAAATCAAGATACCTGGTAGGAAGTGGAGTATATATTGGCAAGTGGAGTAGTTGATGGAACGAAAACTGGCTGTGGTCGTGAAGGTGGATACGTAGCCGGCAGGGTAGGTGGCTGACTGGGTTTGGCCAGCGTTCTTGGCAGATATGTGAGTGCTAGAGCAAATGAAATGATCAATGACTTCTAATCCGCTTGCCCGATGGGAAAATGATTTCATATTGTGGCAGGCACAATCTCGCGCTAAATTATCGCGCATTTTAGTAAAAAGAGGAGCGAAAGAAAGATGTGAAGTTGCACGAATTGTACGAGAGATGTCCATTGCCGATGAAAACAAAGAAAACTTTTGCTACGGCAGCTGATGGCATTTCGTAAGTGGAAAGTAGAGAGTTATTTTGCGGAAGTCGAAAATCGGAAATCGGAAAATAGTGATTTTTCAACTGTGATTTAGTTACGGGCTCTATTAGCTACATAACACAGCAAAGTAGGTTTGGCAAGAACCAATCCGGTTGACCGCCAAACAATGTTCACATCAGTCCGATCGAATAAGGCGATCAACCGTTATCGATCCGGCCAAACTTATGCGACTCATGAACCTAAAGGCAGCGAGGGCGATGATTGGTAGGCGGAGCTAATTTGGGGGTGTCACATATAAAACGGGTAGGGAGACAATTAGGCCACGCCTTCTTCGCAGAGAGCGTGTAGATAGGCTGCCTCCCAACGCAGTCCACCAGTGACACCTTCAATTTAGTTCTACCCATCTGTCACCGCAATCGTGCCTTTAAGGTAATATATATGTTGTTAAGAAAATCCGTTCACATGATAGTCAGTATAGGGCAGTTCTTGTAAGAAGATCATTGCACCTTTCATAGCAGGTGGCTCATTTCACGCGATGACTACCTTGCTCCCTTGACCGACTGCGTCGCGACCGCATGCGTCGTTGGTTACTAGTGTGCACACGACTATTGTAGTAATTGTAAGACTTACCAGGCTTTCGTGAAATCGTCCCAATATTCACACATTCGTTGTCCTTCAGATCAGTATTTGGTGGGCAAACACACACTGGTATCACAGTATCGCACACAGACCCATGAACACAAATCTCGCCGTTCTCGCATAGTTCGCCAGGTCCTGGTTAGTTGTTACTTGTTAGTATGTGAATTTGTAGTGAGTACATCATGAAGTGCAGGTCAACTTGCATTACTCACTGTGCGTCCCTTAGGTGCACTCTGTTTACCGCGCTCAGATGGGTTGCAAACGCGAGGTTGATAACCCAGATGTGGCATCAAAAAATCAATAGCACCAAAGCAGCATGATATCGATTAGTTCTGAGGCTTTCGCCCCGTGTGTTGATGCTACTCTGCATAATCTGTAGTGCACGTTGCAGTAGCCGTGAAAAAAATCGATATCGCTCGATGATGCTGATTAACTGACGCGTCATCTGTTGCTAAGTCTGCATTTACGACACATCTGCGTACGGGAAACTTGTGTAAATATATCATCACTACCACAGACGTTATGGCTTTAATTCATCATTAACTAACATAATCCGACATTTTGCACTGGAATCAGGGTCGACCGTGGAGCTTGGGCGATTTCACAGAATTTCAACGACCCCCTCCCCCAGTTTCCATGGTTGGTACTGTCAGTGGAGCCATTACTATGTGACACATTTCCAGTCCACCTCTGCCCCAACCCACCTTTCAGGTCCGAGTCGTCCAGACGAAGGGCCGACCCTGATTGAAAAGGTATGCTAAGAGCTTTTAGATGCGGATAGTGATAAAAAACCGTGCCACTCGAGATTTAACCACGTTGGTTAGCCAGTAGCTTAGCTATTGAGTGGTAAGTATTGAAGAATGCGTTGTTTCTGCACAGCAAACAAGAAACACTTTTGGGAAGCTGGCTAATTACCACTTGTTACGAACGATTATACAAATTAAGGCAGATGAGAAATGTAGCTGGAAAAAGCGCGCGGTACACCCACGGTAGTACCAGATGTGCTATACGATAATTATGTACAGACAGCTCGAAGTGCGGTGTCAAGGCTCTTGCTGTTCGAATTTCACGCCAAAATGGGAGCTGCGGGTCCTGCACCAGGCTATGCCCACATGGTATTCCGTCACGA